TCCCACATCCCTGTCCCCGGTCCTCCCTGGGCCTGTTCCCACTCTGCGCTTCAAACCTGTGCAGTGTTCTGCCTCTCGCTGTGACTGCCCCCCCCCCCGCCCCCGATTCCAAGGACCCTGGAAGAATAGCTGCATGTGTGCCCATGCTGTATGTCGCACATCTCTGAAGTGTCTCACAGTTTCCTCTCCCACTCTCTTTCCTATGACAAGCTTGGTTCCCCCATGAAGTCAGTGTGGAGGATGCTGCCTCGTCGTGAAGTAATACCAACGCTGCATCTTGTCTGTGGGGTTGCAGTGATGTCTGTATTTCTCAGGGCATCAGTAACAACATCAGCCCATCACTTTATGAGTGCTTGTGTGTGACAGGCGCTCTGTGAAGCACGCACGGTACAGACATCACAACTCTGCATTGTAGATGCTTCTCAAATGCGGATGCCGATGGTTGCAGGAAGAAAGGATACAACGCCACGGTTGTTGCCACTAAATGCCCTCTGCCATGGCTAGGGGAACACTATCCCAGCAGAGTATCTGAAGTCGCCACCTGTGGGGGACTGAGCCACCATGGGCAAGAAAGCCTCTAGCGTGTGCTGAGACATGCCTCTTGGATTGGCCCTGGTTCTCCATTCACCATGGACAGCCTTGGAAAAGGGAAGCCACTTGTTTGGGCTCTCGGTTCCTCATCTGTCAGAGATGACAGTCCACCCTAAAAGCTATCAACCTTGAAGGGCTGATAAAGTGTGGCAGTGAGCTAAGTCTCTCACACAACACCTGGTACCGTAGGTCCTCAGTAAAAGCCGCTTTATCATTAGTGTCTTATATACAAGGCGCTGTGGGAAGTGTAAGGACCAGAAATGAATGGATTCTATAGTGGATCTTGACCCTAGACCCTGAGGACAGAGTTCTAAGTCTGCATGCCCAGTCTGGGATTCTAGGCTTCCAAGCTGACAGTCAGAACCAACAACCATGCCCCGCCCCCCCATACATCAGTGCGGGTGGGCAGTTGTTCATTGAGAATTACCAAAATATAGGTTGAACACCTTTAAGAAGGTTCATAAGGAAGGATTTAGGACCCATTGATGCCATCTGTGTTTTCATCAGAAGAAAATCTCTATTCCGCCTGAATCTGGTGTCATGAATCATTCAAAGGTGTGGTTCGAGCTGACTAGATCTGGACCCGAGGCTCTGAGCCGCCTTGGAAGCAGTTAGAGTCTTGTGGTTTGACTAACCTTTCTTATGAGTGTGTTACTAGAGAAACGTGAGCTATTGGCTTTTCAATTACTGTAGCCTCCCCCTTCTGAGTTTCATACACACTGAGTCATCGGGTCTACAGGTGACTGATAATCATCGGCAGCCATCAGGTTACGGTAACTGGGAGATGAGGGGATCTGATCAGGGTGAGCTGTGTGCGCACGAAGATCTGAGGTGCTCTCCTCTCCTCCTTGAACAATGGTCTGCGCTAACCACACAGCTCAGTCACCTGTTTCCATTCTTCCAGTGGTCTGTCCTGTGTTGATGTCCCACACACACACACGCCCCGCTCCCCCGCGTCCCCACCGGCCTGGCCACTTTGCACTCATACATCCCAGCTGTTTGCTCAGAGGTGCTGCGGGTGGTGTGGAGTGTGAATTCACAAGCTTGGGTAAGGAAAGCACACTCCTGGGAGAAAGGAGAAACAGAAAGAGGTGGTGATATGCCTACCCAGCCCTGGAAACTTCCCAGAGCCTCTCTATCACAGGAAAAGAGAAAGAGATTGGACATCTCCTGGTATGTAGGAAGTTTGGCAGGGCCAGCCACACTGAGAAACCGTGGATGACCTTGAAAAGTCTAGGGGACCAGATTTCATTAGTCCTGCTTCGTTTCCAGGGGAATGGGTGTGTGTGAACTCAGTGTCGCCTGCTCTTCATGTCACTGCTACAGTCAGCCATCATCCAGGGAGCTGGAAATAACATTGCCGCCATTGGTTGCTTTGGCAAACGCATCCGTTTCTGTTGTTTCCTAGTGAGTTGCCAAGTGAGGGCATTTTCCTTTTCTTTGTTTTCTTTTTTCTCTCAGATATTACTTTAGAAAGCAACATGTCTGTAAGGCAATGGGGGTGCAAGGTAAACGCATCTGATGGACCGGCTCCTCTGGCTGGCCTTTCTGCCTCCAGCCTGCGTCTGGCACATCTTCCACGTCGCTGTGACATTCACCACGGCCTCTTTTCCTCAGAGGCATTTGGCATTTACTGTGTGGTGGGCCATTCAGAATGTCGATCATTTGGCCTCCTGTGGGTTTTCAAGGTTGGTCTGTCTGATTGTGATGCTCGGATTGGACCCAGGCCTCACACATGCTAGACAAGAGCCAGTGTGCCATGACACACACATGTACCCCCTATACACAAAGCAACTAAATAATGTGAGGGAGGGAGGGAGGGAGGGAGGGAGGGAGGGAGGGAGAGAATACTGGCGTGTGCCAGGTGTTGTGTTGTGTGTGTCTGGTGCCGTCCTGAGTGCTTCCCAGCGACCCTGTGAGGAGTTACCATGTTCATTTCAGGCAGGGTCACACAACCAGTAGCGGATGGAACCAGAGTTAAACCAGTCCAAACTAGCCCATGTGACTAAAGCCCGTCTCAACCACGCAAGCTACCCCAGGGTGTGGCCATTACAGTGTGAGGCTGTGTGAAGTCTGAGAAGCCCCTTACCCAGCATTCTCTTCCTGCCCATGTTCTCTCAGCCTTTCATCCTCTCTCCTCCCTGAGACAGAACAATCCAGATCCTGCCAGTTCATCAAGACCCTCCTCAACAGTTAGATTTTTCCAAGAATTAATTTCTTCCTTCTGAAATATTTGCATTCCCTTAATGTTGAAATATACAGTTGAGGGGTTAGGGATTTAGCTCAGTGGTAGAGCGCTTGCCCAGCAAGCACAAGGCCCTGGGTTCGGTCCTCAGCTCCAGAAAACAAAAAACAAAAAACAAAAAAAATAAGAAAAGAAATATACAGTTGATACCAAAAGGACTCATCTTGCCTATATGAGATCTTATAATGCCCCCCCCCGTTTTAAAAATATTTTTCATATCCCAACTGTAGTTTCCCCTCCTTCCCGTCCTCCCAGTCTGTCTCCTCCACCTCCCCCAACATCCACTCCTCCATTTCCCTTCAGAAAAGGGCAGGTCTCCATGTGTGTTATCCAGTCACGGCATATCAGGCTGCGGGAAGATTAGGCACCTCCTCTCCTATAAAGACAACAGTGCCTCCCTCCCCCCTCCCCCTTTTTAAAACAGACTATGAGGTCCTCCCCCAGTTCAAACCTCAAATGGGGCATTTAGAGAAAAACCACATGTCTCCATAGATGAGCAGCACTTCCATGACATCCACACCATCTCAGCTCCAGTTTTGTGCCTAAACATCTTGTTTCTGCCCTGCTGGAGTGGAGAGACATCGAGTCCCTCAGTCCCTGTGTTTTCTTATGGTGTTGTCTTTTTTCTTTTTTAAAGATTTATTTATTATGTATACAGAAGAGGGCACCAGATCTCATTACAGATGGCTGTGAGCCACCATGTGGGTGCTGGGAATTGAACTCAGGACCTCTGGAAGAGCAGTCGGTGCTCTTAACCTCTGAGCCATCTCTCCAGCCCGCCATTTTCTTTTATTTCTGAACCCTTTTCTGTGAGGCAGTGACAATTTGGAACTCTGGGATGCCTAGGGAACGTTTCAAAAGAGAAGAACACAGCACAGCAAACCAGGACCCGAAGTCAACACAGTGACTTAGGAGCCACACCCAGCACCGTCCCATCTCCCACACTCTCTCCTCTCTCGTTGGCCTCAGTGCCACGAAGCCACCACTGCTGACCGCTCCCTGCCCACTCCAGGGCCAGAGAGACTCCTTCTCTTTCCTGACACACAGCACTCAGGGTGCTGCTGGTGGCTAACTCTGTTTTCAGAAGTTCTCAGCAGTTTGACATGGGAAATGGAGAGGACAACCACAAGGGAATCTCTTCAGTTAGGTGTGCAATGGGTCCTAAGGATCCAGATGCATCTAGGATACATCTGTCAAGTGAAAATCAATTCCAAGTGGAGGCATGGTGGCCGACACTCATCTCCTCATCTCAGCACTTAGGAGGCTGAGGCAAGAAGATAATGAGTTAAAGGCAGACTGGGCTACATAGAGAGACCCTGTCTTCAAACAATAACAAACAAGCCTCCACCACCCCACCAAAAGCAACACACATTAAGAAATGGGCAGAAGTTTATTTAAAAAAAAAAATCTTTCCTAGGTCCGGGGATGTAACTTGATTGGTAGAGTGCGTGCCTAGAATGTACAAAGCCCAGGGTTCCATACAGGTACATGCCTGTAGTCTCAGCATTTGAGAAGTGGAGGCAAGAGAATCAAGGGTTCGAGGTCATCCTCAGCTGTATATTAAGTTCAAGGTTAGCCTGGGATAATTGAAACCCTGTTTGTCTTTAAAAAAGAAAGAGAGAAGAAAGGAAGGAAGGAAGGAAGGAAGGAAGGAAGGAAGGAAGGAAGGAAGGAAGGAAAGAAGGAAGGAAGAAAATAAATTAGGAGAGAGCCCAGCTGCAAGCTGCTGTAGCTAATCACTGAGACCCTACTCTTTACAGTACCTAATATTATAGGCTGATTACCACACAGTGAGAGTGTGGAGGCCCCAGACCCCTGCTCAGTGGCAGCCCACCCACCCCAGCTTGTCCTGATGTCTTTACTTCCTGTGCCCCTCCCCCTTTCTCCAGTGGACACACCTCACAACATGGCCTCACTGGATGACGTCTCTCTGCCCCTGTCTTTTATCCACTGGCTTAATTTTGACAGTTCAAACATGTGACTGGCAGATAGCACCCCCTGAGATCATCTCCCTGTGGAATGGAGCGTCCCCACCATGGCTGGGTGCCAGTGAGCAGCAGCCACAGCTTACCCTTCCTCACTTTGGGAGGACTCTGAAAAAGAGCTTTGCCCACCTTCTGCTTCCTGCTATTTCTTCACTAACTTCTCTTCTCACTTGCTCCAGGTGAGAAGCGCCACTGCTTTGACGTCAACTACAATCCCAGCTACATGTATGAGAAGGAGAGTGAGATGATGCAGACCCGAATGATGGACCAGGCCATCAATAACGCCATCAGCTATCTTGGGGCTGAAGCCCTTCGCCCCTTAGTCCAGACTCCACCTGCTCCCACCTCTGAGATGGTCCCAGTTATCAGCAGCATGTATCCTATAGCACTCACCCGGGCTGATATGCCCAACGGGGCCCCGCAGGAGCTGGAAAAGAAAAGGATCCTCCTGCCAGAGAAGAACTTGCCTTCTGAGCGAGGTCTGTCCCCCAATAACAGTGCCCACGACTCTACAGATACTGACAGCAACCACGAGGATCGCCAGAATCATGTCTACCAGCAAAGCCACATGGTCCTTCCCCAGGCCCGCAATGGCATGCCACTTCTGAAGGAGGTCCCGCGCTCCTTTGAACTCCTGAAGCCCCCTCCCATCTGCCTGAGAGACTCCATCAAAGTGATCAGCAAAGAAGGAGAGGTGATGGATGTGTTCCGGTGTGACCACTGCCATGTCCTCTTCCTAGATTATGTGATGTTTACCATCCACATGGGGTGCCATGGTTTCCGTGACCCCTTTGAGTGTAACATGTGTGGATATCGAAGCCACGATCGCTACGAATTCTCCTCTCACATCGCTAGAGGAGAACACAGGGCCATGTTGAAGTGAGCATCAGTCTCCGAGCTCACAATCTAAGGGTCAACATTGTTTCTTAAAACTGATGATAGCCTTACCCAGCAGACGGAACTCACACCCACAGTCCTGTCCGGTTATGTTAGTACTCAGTCCCATTCACAGGAACAGTCAGGGAAACACTGTCTCCATCCAGAAACTGTTTGCAGAGCCATCATGTTACTTTGTGAAACCTTCCCTTCCCATCAGTGGAATTTGATGGGATTTAAAAGCCAAAGAAGTATCCAGTTCATTATCTTTTGTAGCAATAGCCAGCCATCCCCTGGAGCTGCTTGCCAACTGGAACAGTCCTCGGTGGACTGCAGGAGACATTCGCTGGGATATAGCAGCCATATGTGGAAAAGTCTTTGATCCTATGCCCAGATCCACACAGTGGAGGAGCTGACCAGCTGCCCTTGCCCTTTGGGCACTAGCACAAGGCGGGAGGGTTAGAACCCAATCTCCTCTCCCTTCCCAGTCTAACAGTAAGAAAGAGACAGCCTACAGGAAGTACCCGCTGCCAGTAATGGAAGAGCCTATCTTCAGAGCTTCGGTTCACTTCCTATCACACGAGCAAAACCAAACAGAAGCCATCTGAGGACCCTTCTGCTTCACCTGCCTGCCACCAGGGAAAACCTGAGGTGATCTGGCCTAAGCCAGCTGTCGGGAAGAAAAGTTTACTCCAGAGGAACCAATGCTTTTAAATGCTGAGTGTCACCGACACCCAGGAGTCATCCACTGAGGGGAGGTGGTGTTTGGGTCTTTGATGGAGATTGGCAGAGCAGGCAGGGGACATAGCTTAGTGTTTGCCAAGTTCAACCCCCAGCACCAAGGGACAAAAAGGAAAGAAAGAAAAGGGGAGGGGAGGGAGATTGGCAGAGCAGAGTGTGTAGGGCACATGGGTTGGCAGTTCTTGTCACCTTCGTGGAGTACTGGTTGGAAACCCAAAGAACACCTGAAAGTGACTTTACACCCGCACATACTCAGAGGACCTGGAATGTACCACTTAGCCTCCCCGCCACAGGGGTGAGATCCAGGGACGGGAACCACAGATGTTCTGATCAGGAGGCTCCGAGGTCAGGTTAGACATGTGTGGCTTTTATTTCATTTTTAAAACGGTCCTCCTGCTGCCTAGATGGGCCTCCAGCTCACTACTAGCTGAGGGTGGCCAGAACTCTGATCCTCCGGCCTCAGCCTACCGAGTGCTGGGGTTCGAGATGTTCACCATCAGGGTTCTGGGTTTTCACTCTCTGGAACCGGAGCTGCCGCGGTCCGCTAAGGGTCTTGAAAGTCTGTCTCGTTCTGTAGATGGACCAATCAGCTTTGTCCCTATACACAGCACCAAGACATCAAGAAAACCTGGAATAGAGGTCACAAAATGCATGGGCCAAGCTCCTGTCTGCTACTAATTAGTGTGTTCTTTTGTACAAATCATTCAGCTCTAAAAGCTAAATTTCCTCAACCATAAAGTAAGAGTTGGGTTTAGACCTCCTTGATGGTCCCTCCCGGCTCTGATACACGATTATTCAGTAACCACAGGTTATTTTTAAACCTCCTGATGTGTGGGCCTTAGGCAGAAGGGTCCACACATGAAAATGTGTTTCATGTCTCTTCGGTGTGAAAATGTAAGTGCATTAAGTTTTTCCTTCAGCCACTGAGTCATGAACCTGAGGAGGAACAAGGAACAGGAAGGTGATTTGGTCTTGCCAAAGTGTGCACACGAATCGGCATCTACAGCTGCTTGCCAGGCCCTTTTCTTTCTTTCTGTTTTAAGAACTGTGTGAGGGAAAATAAGTTCTGCTTACAGGGACCAGCTCCATGGCGCCTATTTACAAATTAAGAGCTAGCTTTATGAACATTTCTGCCGGAGCCAAGAATCCCGAGTTCCTGGTTGATTAGCATTTTCCTTCTAAAGGGCTTATGGAGTCGGCTCTCACTCAACTCATTTATGCAACGCCAGTAATTAAAACGTTCCACCTCAGACACACAAATGGCTTAGCCTGCTTTGTAGCATGGTGGCTGTCTCAGGGAAAGCGGGCGGGGCGGGGCATGGAATTCCATGGCAACAGTTCAGTGTGTCTGAGGCTTCGGCTACCAGACTGGACGTCTTTAGCACACCGCCGTTTATCAGCAGAGTTGAATCTGAACTGTGCCACATTATTTATGACCATTGTGAAAGAGGACCTGCCTATTCTATGCTTGAGCGAGTTCACATCCTGTGGACTTGCGGAGGGGAGACACGATGGTAGGGAGAGAGTGAGTTGGAAAGCAGGGACTAGAAGGAAAAGATGCAGAGGTGGGCATTTCTTCCAGAGTGCTGTTGAAGTCTGCTGCGCGCACGCGCGCACACACACACACACACACAAGCACACGCACACGCACACACGTGCACATGCGTGCTTTGTCATCTCAAGATGGTGAACTACTATTCTTCTAGTCCAGAAACCTCCACAGATGGGACTCTATCCTGCGACGGTGGACTTGCTGAGTGACTTCCATCCCCTGAGGCTACTTTCTGAATGACGCGCACACTCCCAGAGCCTTGACCTTCAAAGACTCATGCTGAGCCCCAGCAGAGGCCCTCAATGCCAGGGTTCTGCTTAAGCTTGAAGCTCTTGAGTGTAGCAGTTGAGCCTGGTGAGGTGCGGTGGTTAGTGCTTTGGTTAGCACCGACAGTGCTTGTGTTCCTTGGGCTACCTGTGGGCCCCCCTTGATGGAGGTGGGGGCTGAAGTGAGAAGGGGTAGGGATTTGCATCCTCCATGGGGCTGTGAAGTCCTGAGGAGGGTTCGGCTTTCTCACACAGGGCCCCCGCCATGAACCCTGTGGGCCTTTCCTTCCTTTCCCACCAGCCCCCTCAGAAGCAAGCTCCAACCACACACCCAAGGGGGCTGCAAACTGGGGGCCAACCAAACCCACAAGAAGTTCCATTGCAGCCAAGGTGACAGAGTTGGGGTGAGGGTGGAAAGAACAGCAGAACTAGCTCTCCAAATGCTCCTCGCCATGATTTGAAGTGCTGCACAGAATGCAATAGAAGAATCCTTCCATTCAGCATTCCAGCATTACCACCAGAAGAGGGGGAAACCCAACCCATCTTCATACGCCTTAAATCATTCCCCCCAAAGAAACAGCGCCGGGCACTGACAAGCCAGCTAGCCTCGTCTCTCCTGCTCATTCTCAGCCCTTCCTGACTTTGCTTCTGGATTCATCCACGACAAAATTTCTCCCTCTTCTGTGCTTACCACTTTGGGTGGACCATCCATAGTCTCAGCACCCCCTGAAGAAAATGGCCCCAGGTGTCTTTTGCAAAGGGGAACATTTTAAAGCACAAAAAAAATCTTACTTAACTGAAGTATTATGTAACTAACAGATGTCACATTGGCATAGAAGTTTTCTAAGTAGATACGCATCTTTGTTCTCCTCGGTTTCCTTGTTCCCCTTACCAAGTGTGAAGGTTGGTGTGCTGTAAGGGGACAGACCTAACTCCCAGGCTAAGGGGTAGCTCAGTGCAGGAATGCTTCTTTGCCTAGTGCTAGCATGAGAGAGGCCCTGGTTTCCAAGCCCAGCTAGAAGAGAGAGAGATGGGTAGGCAGGTAGGCAGGCAGGCAGGTAGGTAGGTAGGTAAATACAAACAGAGAAATCAAACTTTTGAAACATACCCCAGGGCAGGCAAGAAGACCATAAGGATAAAGTTGGTCCATGGTCCTCACTGTAAGGTGCACCCCACTGAAGATATGCTGGTCTCTAGTAAGGCTTGGGAAACCGAGACCGTTCAGATTCGTAAAAGAGCTTGGGCATCTTCAAGGATGCAGGAGCCTTGAATTGAGACTTCTGCACTCAGAAAGGAAAAAGGAGTGTTGAAAATTATTTTTTAACCTGAAAATCAGCAGCAAGAGCCTCAACAGAAGATGAACAGTATATACTGCCAGGTCTCAAAGGATAAAGACTCTATTTTATACAGAGGGCTGTCCAGGAAGCCTCAACGGACAGCGTTCTGGGCAACATGATTGGGGAATCTACATTCTTTCTCTGAAACCAAAGGCTGAATCCAGGCTACCCTAGGACTGTTTCCTAAGAAGGCAGGACTGACCAGCCATGGGAAGGATCAGTGAAGCACTGGTTCTCAAGACAATGGACTTGGAAGGGCCTAGAAGACAGGTGTGGGCTTTGACCTAGGGTGAGCTCAGAATGTAAGGCTGCATCTGTCTTACCCAGCTGTAATCTCTGGGACCCACCAAGCCATCAATAGGCTGAACAGGCTTTTGCACTTTGAAGAAGTTGGATGTGCTGTTCCCTCTAAACATTCCAGCTGTGGACTGTCTTATCCATCGCTGTCATATGAGCTATTATCTGAAATTGGAACATTAATTTTTGATTCAAAATGTAAAGTCATAGTGATATCTACCTTCCAGGGTGTTGTGAGGTTTGCTGTGATCTTGTCTATAGAGTAAAGTTGCTTTGGGGGAAGGGTATTATGCTGTCTAGTTATAAATTTTCTGCTGTAAATCCTGTGTCTGGTTAGAAGGGCATGAAAAAAAAAAAAAAAAGAGTCCAAGATCACACTGAGGCCAGTGCCACTGTGGAGGGAGGGCCACTAATGTCTAACAGTTTCTGTATCATTGTGTTGCATAAAGCCAGCGAATGTGCTGGACCTTGGAGCCAATGTGAGTGAGCCACAGAGAACCAGAACAGTAGCCTGGCTTTGTCCCCTCCCTGTCTGTGAGACCACAGCCATTGCCCTCATCGTCTGCAGAGTTTTCCCGATGGTCCTCACCTCCATCCTTCCAGTGAGCCCAGAGAGTAGCCCCACCGGACTTCCCATCCTGTCTCAAGCACAGCTTTGTTCCTTTGCCTCCCCCCAAAGACACACACATTTTAACGTGTTAAGGAAATGGGGCAGCCTTTTAAAATGACTGGGGGGGCTGCCCGTGACTCATCAATATGAGGACCTTTTCCAAGCTGGCAGGCAAGGCTCTTCCTGGTGGGCCTGGCTCGGTGGATTCACGGAAACCAAATTGCTGTGGGTTGCAAAGAATTAGCAGGTCATTTTCAAAGCAGACATGCCTTCACCCAGACTGTGGTTTTGTATGCTCAGGTTCTCAGTCTGTGAGCACAGGGGAAGGATCATTTTGGCTACTGGAAAAAACCATAGCTTATTTTTAATTTCTGGTTGTCAAAGCCACCACACGTGTGGTCTGTGGATGACCCTTGTCTGCAGAGTGATGGGACAGGAACAAAGGTGGTTTGGGGCTCAGGGAACCCTCACCTAGAGGTTACCACAAGGCCTGTGCCACTGGCCTTCTCCCTTGCCTTGTTTCTCAGAAACAGCCCCTGCCAGTGGTATCTCTCTGCCCTCCTCTGGAGTTTTCCCCGAACCCCACCATTGGGAGACTGTACCACCCCATTAAAGTTTGTCCAAAGTTCACTTTGAGTGAAGCCATACTAACCTTGCCAGAACATAAGGAACGCATCTCCTGTACAAAACAGCTTGCTGATATTGTCAAGTTTTCTTTACTGTGTTTGATTTTTACACTGATGATAAATAAATAAAATCCTGGTGTGTTTAAAATTAGTCCCGTTGCACGCTCATCATTTGTCATGGTTGCTGTCAGAAAACGGAGGGGGTTCAATCTGCCTTGGGGAATATTTCCATAATTTTGTCTTGGCTTTTTCTTAAAGCCAAAAATATCAAAATAAGTGGACTTACCACAGAAGTCAGGAAATTCACTACCCAGACGCACTGCTGAGCCTGCCTATGGCGCCCTACTGGTCCCTGAGGCCATAGCAGAGTTCTGGACACACACACCCGAAAGCTCACTAGGGATTCCAGCAGACAGGGATCTGGACACAGCAGGATCAGTAAGTACCCTCAGAAGAGTCTCCTTACTCCACATCACCTCACCACCCTCCCCTCCAACACAGGGTCTTGAGAGAGAGGCAGGTAGGGAAGCCTTGGCTTTTTCCAACTGTGAATCTCTGAAATGGTGAGAAGCCTGAGTTGTAGTTCATTAAACTCAGACAAGTTCCAGGCAGTCTGTAGACACTTGGGGACTCAAACCTAAGGTGAAGTGGGGCATGGGGGACCCCCAACAGGGTGACACAGCCTGGTCTTGTTTGCCTGGTATTTACTCCAAGACACCTGGAGGAGTATGAGAAGTCTGGTCTTCTGTAAGCTTCATGTGAGCTCACTCGAAGGCATGTTGAACCTGGGCCCATGGATCACATATGGCCAGGGATAACCGTGAATGCAGCCCAACACACAAATCATAAACTTCAACATCGAGATTCTGTTTAATTCGCTTGCGCAGTTCTTGGATGTGAACTTTGTAGATGACGGCGTCATGTCACAAGGTCAAAAGGCTGGATACACATGTCTCCCTTGCCCTGTCTTGAGGCTTCAGCAGTTTGGATTTAACAAGCTCAGTCCTTGAGCAAGTTGGTGGTGGGGTACCCCCCAAAAAAAACTCTATTGCAGCAATATCTTCATCCCTTTTGCTTTGGGGACTTCTAGCAAATCCTCCCAGGGCAGGAGACAGGAAGGGCACGCCAGCCTGCCCTTGTATTTTAGCGGGAATCACTCAGAAGCAGCCTTCCCTCAGCTAACCAGCAGGCATGTATATGGCCTTCTCCAAACCCACTCCCTCCCAAGGAGAAGGAGCTGGGGGAAGAAGAGGAGACAGGGAGGCCTTGAACCCTTTTCAAGGAGGTGGGGGGCATTCCCCTCCAGCCTGATACTTTACATTCCTAGCTCTAGTGACCAGTGTCGCTTTAGAGGGGTTGGTGGCCCCCAGCAAGAGATGCCACCTCACACCTGCAGCCTCCCCCAACCCCATGACTCCACACCCCAGGCCACCTGCAAGGCTGGAGGACCCAAATCTCCACCTGCGGGCAACTGCCACCTAAGGGTAGGGAGGCAAAGGACCCAGGTCCCTTCCCTCCTACCCATCCTTAAAATCCCGGGGCATTAGACACCAGAGCTGCAGACTACCAGGGATGGCCTGAGGAAGAGAGTGAAGTGGATGTCCCACCCAGGCCATAGATTCTGCCCCTGGAGCATTCATTCCCAGGCAGACAGTTGTTTGCATAAAAGCCAAAAGCCACTGCACCTGGCGGGGGAGGCCCTCTAGGGAGGTACTCCTTGGCTTGGGGGGAAAGGAGGAAGGAAAGGTGTCATGGAAAGTCCCTGAAGGACACGGGTGTTGAGTTTGCTATGCGGTTTTGTTTTTAACTCTGTCTTGACCTGTGAAGTATGCAGCTGCCTCCCTGCCCCCAAATAACAGAGCACACACCCCCCCCCCCGTGTATATAATAAGCACATACACAAGGAAAAAGATCTGAGTGGAAAGAACCGAGGTTAGAGTGCTTGTGAGTGATGTAACCTGCCACCACCACCACTCAGGAGTGAGGGGGCAGGAAGCCCCAGAATTTTTTTTTCCCATCAACCCCCCCCCTCCCCTCTGCCCCCTGGCCCAGAAGAGCAGCCTAGTCAAATAAACCACAGCCCTGGGGGAGGCTGATGGATGGGAACCAGGGGGGCAGGTGCTACCCTCCCCCCCACCCCACACGTTTGTCCCACCACCAACTCAAGCTCCATCCCACCCCCACTGGAATTACATTCTCAACCTTTCTTGCAGAGCTGCTGGATGTGTTGGGGGACAACTTGGTGCCGGTACTCATATTCTGGTCTCAGCCTCAGCCTCGTGACTCTCTGGGTGACCTCCAGTGCTTTACATGCTGGATCTTAATTTTCCTTGGAGTCATGAATCTTTCCGATTTCTTTGGGCTGGGCCTCTAAGCTCAACTTCAACCCCAGAGTTCTAGTAGACACCAGAAGCCAACCCCGGAATAGGGAATCCTGTTCCCTTCTCTTGACCTTAGGACTCCTAGCAGGTGGGTGCAGGAGGTGAAGAGTGTGGCCTGGGATTTTCCCAAGATGTCACTGCCTCAACTGTTTGTGAGACGCTGGGCCAAAGAGGCGAGGGACTGAGAGGTACCAGGCTCCTGCCTCTTCACCTGTACAACTGTGGGAGGCTCTGGATGTGGGTGCTGGAGTGCTCTACACCCCTTCTCAGGGTGGACACTGATTCCCGAGTCAGGGAACCTGGGAGAGACATCATGCAGTGATGGGGAGAAGGGGTGAGGCGCGAGGTGGGAGCCAAGGGCGTGAGGGAAGGGCCAGCTATGTTTCTGAGAAACAGCCTGGCGTCCCAGCAGCCAGCAGCTTAACCCCAGGCCTGCGGCTTCACAGCTCTCCCCTCCTGCCGCCCACGCCGCCCGGCGCCTCTCGGGGGTCTTGTAGCCCCGACGGGGCGGCGGCCTCTGCGGACACGCAACAGATCTGGGGACAGTGGAGTGGAGCCTAGGGGCGGTGGGGAGCGCAGGAAGGCGTGGGTCGCGTGACACCCCAGGGGTCCCGCCTGCCCGCAGGTACCGCCCTTGCCGCCCCCACCCAGGTCCTCCTCTCCCAGCCCCGGCGGAGTGGGATCCAGAAGTGAAACCACCCGGGTCACAGCCCAGCGCCGCCGCTGCGCCGCGCCCCGCCCTTCCGGGCACTGCCGCGAGGTAGGAGCACCCCGCGCCCCCGATCGCAGCTAGGAAACGGGGGAGGGGCAGGGGAAGTGCGCACGAGCCAACTGGGGAACCTCGGGAGACGTCGGCCGGCCACAGTTCTCGGAATGGCCGCTGGGTGGCACTGCAGCAGCGCGGCTGGAACCGCTTGGGAGCTCGCAGGGACCCACCCGGCGCCGACACCAGGTAGCGGCTGAGCGCACCAGCTGGCCTGGGGCTGCCCGGGGACGGATTCGAGACTGTGACGTCACACCAGACCCTAAAAAGGGTCCGGGGACCGACGGGGCGTATTTGGGTCCTCGCTTCGCAGTGTTCAAAGAGCGCCAGGCTGTCGGATCATCGTCGTGAAGACTGAACTGGCGGCCGGAGTGTAGCCGTGGGCACCGGATCACCTTGCACACACCTGTGTGGGTGGGACACTCCCCCACCCCCGTGCATGCCCTCTCCAGCCCCAACCTGGTCTCACCAGTCTGGGGCCTCTTCTTCCTCACTAAACGCACTCCAGACACCTTCACCCCGCCCCCCCGCGCCCCGTAAAAAATCCCCCACCAAGTTCATCCCTAAGATGTGTGGGCTTGGGTGGCTCCCCAGCCTGGGAGGAGGGAAGCCAAAACTGTGGATACAGTCTGATGGAAGTTAAGAGAGCCAGGTAGGCCAGAGCTGGCAAGGGCTGAATATGCTGGAATCCTATGGGGAAAAGTGAGCAGGTACCCAGAAGGAACGAGGGGGTTCTACTGTGTGCTGGAGGATATGGCTCACGCCCTAGAAACTGGCAGTTTCAAGGATGCATAAGCCTTCCTTATCACATGTGCGTGGTGTGCATGCAACACTCCCACTTCTACACAGCTCCCCTCAACTCCAGTCACAAGGCCTGTTTCCACTACTGATACTCTAGTGGGGTGTACATACGGTGACCCTAAAGGGGAGGACTGGAGGGAAGTAGGAAGACTTCAAGGTAGAGGTCAGCCTGCACTAGTAAGATTGATATTCTCTCTCTCATATGTGTGTATACACCTCTCATAAATACCATATATATATATGATTGATATATATATATGAGAGGTTGGTTTAATTATATTCATTTATTATAATTTATTATGTTTATTAGTGTGCATGTGTGTGGGCTGTGTGCTCATGCAATGAAGTGTGTGGTGTGTTTTTGTGTGTGTGTGTGTGTGTGTGTGTGTGTGTGTGAAGGTCAGAGGACAATTTGCCACAGTTGGTTCTGTCCTTCAACCACATGGGTCCTGGTGTTTGATTGGCCGGGATGTCAGGCTTGGCAACAGGTACCTTTACCCACTGGACCCCTTTAAAGCCCTCAAAACAAGTTTTTACCTTTATTTATCTGGAAGGTCACGTGCCATGGTGCACGTGTAGCAGGGAAAGTCAGAGGATAACTTGCAGGAGCAGGCTCCCTCCTCCCACCAGGAGGTAGCCGCCATCCCTTCTGGCCCCCATCGCCCTCCAATTCCTCCTCCAGGGCTAGAAAGGATGGTGTCCATTGTCTGCCGCCTGGGCTGGTTGTTCCTAACTTTCTCCGTGACCCCAAGTGGGTCACGTGTTCTGAGACTCAGTTTTCTGCATGTAAAATGGAAGGCATATCGGTCTCAGAGATTCCGATTGGCGGGTTGACATAGACGGGGCGGAATCCCCTGTCTAGTACCTCAGGTGCTGAGGAGATGCTGAGTTCTCTGTGGGGGCAGCCTAACCCTTCAGACACGCTTAAAAGGTGACTCATCTTGGCCCCTTTCCTGGGACCTTGGCACGAATACCTCAGGAGTGGCACTGGGCATCCATGGGCAGTACACTCCCAGTTCCAAGCTTGAGGAGCAGCCAGTAAAAGAGCGAGTTCTGGGGGCTGTGGCAGGTGTCCAGCTGTGCAGGGCACTGATCCTTGCCTCAAGCCCTGCGGAACAGCAGTGATATCTGCAGGCCTTGTATCTCGGCCACAGAGAGCTCTGCAGGGGAGGTCCCAGCAGGCGACAGGCTGGAGTGTGGAAGGGGTCTCTTTGTCTCTCTTTGTCAGGCCTGGCTCCAAGCTCCCTAGTCTGGCATCAGACAAGCGAGAGTAGTCTTTGTCCCAGTTGGCCACCAATGCTGCTGAACTTGGCACAAGTGCTCCTGAAGTGGCCGGACCTTTGAGGTCACCTCAGGCCAACCTGACTGCAGAGACAGGGCCTCCAGAGAGTCTCTTTAGAAAGGCCTGTTCTGCAGTTTAGGAGTTCTACCCGAGATCCAGCTAAGGGGGGGCAGAATGTGCCTAACCCTGGCCCCCAGAGCCAGAGAGACATCCCAGCTGTCCTACAGTCTGCCCTCCCAGTTCATGGGAGAGCTAGGATTTGAATAAGGACGGTGATGTGGCTGGCAAAGCAGCTGTTCCCTTGCCCCGTGCTCACTCTCAGGTTTAGAAAGGTTCTCTGCTTTTAAAAAAGTTGTGAGATTTTTCAAGCATGTCAAAAGTAATGAGGGCATCAACAAATCTGGATCTTCTGAAAAATGAAGCCAAGCTGGACATGGCGACACATGCCTTTAGTCCCAGCACTGGTGTTCAGGGACTGTGGTCATTTGAATGTAATTGGCCCCCCATAATGTCATAGGGAGTGACACTGTTAGGAGGTGTGGCCTTGTTGGAGTAAGTATGGCCTTGTTGGAGGAAATGTGTCACTGTGGGGATGGGCTTTGAGGTTTCCTATGCTCAAGATACTGCCCAGTGTCTCAGTCGACTTCCTGATGCCTGCAAGATGTAGGAGTCTCAGCTACTCCTTCAGCACCATGTCTGCCTGCATGGTGCCATGCTCCCAGCCATGATGATAATGGCCTGAACTCTGAAAATGTAAGTAAGCCATCCCAATGAAATGTTTTCCTTTATAAGAGTTGCTGTGGTCATGGTGTCTCTCACAGCAATAGAAACCCTAACTAAAACAAGGATGGGGTTGGGGGATGGGAGTCTGCCGGAGGCAGGTGGATCTCTGTGAGTTCCAGGCTAGCCAGCCTGGTCTACATAGCAAATTTCAGCCTAGGCAGGAATACACAACGAGACCCTGCAGAACAGCAGTGAGAGTGTCTTGGGAAAACCAAGACATCATGTCATCTCACTGGAAATACTTCAAATGAGGGCTGGAGAGATGGCTCAGAGGTTAAGAACACTGACTGTCCTTCTGGAGGTCCTGAGTTCAATTCCCAGCAACCACATGGTGGCTCACAACCATCTGTAATGAGATCTGGTGCTATCTTCTGGCCTGCAGGCATGCATGCAGGCAGAACCCTGTGTACATAATAAGTAAATCTGAAAGAAAGAAAGAAAGAAAGAGAGAGAGAGAGAGAGAGAGAGAGAGAGAGAGAGAGAGAGAGAGAAAGAGAGAAAGAGAGAAAGAGAGAAAGAGAGAAAGAGAGAAAGA